TGTTAAGTATGACTTTGCCATACTCAGGCACTTTGAAAACAAATGAATTGTTTCCCTCAGTTTTTAAGGAAGCCTGTAATAAGCCTGCCTGTCTTATTTACATTCTCCTCAAAGCCCTTCTGATTGCCTGTTTCATAGTTGGTTTGTATGTACATAAAAATATGCTGGACCTGGTTCAAGTTCAGTTTGGAAGGGAGTGGGTATATGCATCGTGTGGCTGCCACTGGACGTCGATGCTTGGCTGAATTAATAATCTTGCTATCTTTAGTTTCTCTGACTATAAAATGAGAATGATTAGGCTTACAAAAACTTTGGCAGATAAATTATTGCAGGCTTTTAGCTGAATTGTATCTTTGTTTATCTGGTATTATTTTTAATAGCGCGGTAGAAGGCCACGTTGGATTCTCCTCTGTCCAAGGCCAAGAAATACATGGGAACATCTTTATTTAAAATTATATTAAAGGATATCAGGAATTAGTAAATGATGAGAGCATACACAGTATATACTAAGCTATATAGTATACAGTATATAATTGTGTAACTCTTTGTATATAGTCCATAACTGTATTCAAATAAGCTGCAAGAATATTAAGTGGATAAAAGTTATTGGAATGTGGGAAGCACTGGGTAGATGTGTCCTTGTTTAAGCCTTCTAGCTTCTTATTGCTGAATTGTTAACAATTAGAGCTCTGATTTACATGTAATCTACATGGGGACATTCTAAAATGAGTTTCAAAAGCACTATGTCTATTAGATAATCTGATAAAGATTTTAAGAAGGCCTTTCATGGTCACATAATTTGGGGAAATACTAGGCTAAGCAGAGTTGAATCATTTTCTGTCCTGGGAAACTTACCTGCTCTGCTGTCGACAAGGGTGTGATTGCAAACTCCTTTATTGTAGAATATCTCTTGGGACAAGTGTTCTGCAGAATGTGCTTTGGGAAATACTGTTTGTTCCAACCTTTTCATTTCCCAAATAGGAAAACTGAGGGTGAAAGGATGGCATAGTGATTTGCTAAGTTTGTGTAGGGAGGTGGGCTGAGTGCAAGCCCAGATGTCCCATCCACTACACCATGTCACCCCATGGAGCTCAGCCAAGCAGTGTCAGAGAAGTGCTTCATTCCTAGAGTCTGAAGGGAAGAAGATAATGCACACAATGCCCTGGGAATCAGTTCTCCAGGTTTCACACACTCTCTGGTCCATAATTCAAGTTCTGGGAAATCCCCGGAGTTTTTAAGTCCATGAGCCTCTGGGTTTTCAACCCAGTGCCTCCTGTGCCATATAGAGTGGCTCATTTCTGGAAATGAATCCTCTAGGGTTCAAAATACAGCTTCACCACTTAAGAGCTGTGTGGCTTTGGGTCAACTCACTTAGCTTCTCTGAATCTCCATCTTCTTCTTCCCACTTTTTCTCTCACCTTCTTGCCCTTGAGTCTCTGAGGACCCTTGTGCATGTCCTCATATGTGTGTGTCGGCATATGCCATGTCCTGTCCTTGCACATACATGCCACTGTTCCATATTGGAATAGTCACTTCTTTCTGGCAGAGTTGATGAGCCAATTGCAGAGAATTTCCAAGTTCTTCAACTGCAGTTGGGACAATTTTAGATTTTCAAGTAAGAAGTCTTCAGAAACTCTATTTTTTGCCTGCACTAGCTGCTATTTCTGTTCCTGTCTGATGCTGCAGAGATTCTTGTACATGTTGAAGGTGCAGCTCTTCTACATCCCCACCTATATTGGTGCTTGTAAGAATTCTTTCTTCTCTCTGGTAGAAAGGATTTTACCAGCTGCCATCACTCTTGGCAGGGAGAGAATGACTTCCAAGCCAAGTGCTGCTTGAAAGAGGCACCTCCCCCATCACTTATAAGACTGTACTCAGTGGTTACTGCTTGTGACACATTTTCAAATGGACCCCCCAGTGGCTGTAGCTGTGATTAAAAGCTGTCTGCTCTCTGCCTCACTGGGGATTTGCTGTTTAACCATGTCATGCACATATATATGTGGGCTACAGCAGCATCATGGAAATCATAAAGTGTTTTCTAAGATGAAAACTCAAATGAGTACTTGAATAACAAACTCCTCCTGAATTTTCTAAGTTCAAGTCATTGAGAGGCACTAGTTGGAAACCTAGCCATGCAGGAGGTACATAAAAATAATTTAAAGAAGAAAAGCTAGTGGTCAGTGAATATATACCATCTGCCAGTACATTGCACACATCATCCAGACTGAACATCTTGCAGACTGAAATGCATTTGAAATTAGCAGCTACATTTCAGCAACTCTGAGTCAGGATTCAGTTTGGCCATTCACAAATAAAGCAAGAACAGAATATTCTTGAAAGACCACCCAGATATTCACTGGTATGTTAATAACCATGTTTGGCTTATTATGCAGGTAGTAAGCTCTATTCTAAATATAAATTTACCATGAACACTACCTTAAAAAAATGCCCAAATGAGCAGTGTGGCCTCAGAGACTGGGTGCCTCAAGGCCACAGTCACACCTCTTCCTTTAGATTTGAGTGACTGAGTGTTCAACCTTCTATAAAGTAAAGGGAATGTAACTAGAATTTAAACCTGGGTTCTTTACTTCCACTAAGGAATATACTTACCCAAACCATGAGGTAAAGCCGTGTTCCCTTTCCTACTCACCCCACTCTGGTAACTGGATCAGAAGAATCCAGGCTTGCATTCTTTCTTAGATACATAGGAAAGAAATTTGGGGGAAATTTGATAATTTCGTGTCTCCTTTCACCGGTCCCTGCCTTCCCCTGAACCCCCAAATTTCAAGCACTCCATATCTCCGCAACCATGGTTAATGAAATGCTAATCTGTCACCAGCACATTTAGGCTGACAATGCTGTGAATCGACCACATTGATTACATTGATTATATTTCACATATTTACAATATGGTGAGACAAGCCTAATTTATTTTTCTAAAGAGTTCAAGGTAGGTCTCACCATTTCAGAGGGGGGAAACAATGGAGAAATGTTTGTGGTCGCTATCTGCAATAATCTGGTGCTGACAGAGAGTAGTATTTTATTTAGTAATTAACAGTGTAAAGGGGAAAGGAGCTGTCATGTTGGTTCTTAAGCTGGGGAGTGTGATGAAAGATGATATCTGCGATCTCATCCTTTCCACTTGTTTAGGATTGTCAGGATGAGAAATGTCAGCATTATGAAAGCTCGGCTCTGCTCTTGATATGATAAAACCCTTCAAAAGCCAGTCTTTCTCTTTCCCTCATCCCCCTCCTTTCTCACTCTCTCTCTGCACTTGCTTTTTTATTTATCCTGTTTTGTTAGATGGCAGAAATATAATTCTTTTCTTTCTTCCTATTATAAGCCACCATTTTTGTTTTATTATATGTTTCACAACCCCTAATGCCCCACTGAAAATTACCTTGTTAAATGACAGTGTTTCAAAGCCATGAATCCTTTCCACCATTCCCTCAGAGGTTTGAAACAGTCAACAGACTGTAAAGAATAAATAATAAAAAAGTATCGATTATTTTGATGACTGTGAGATTCAATTAAGTATTAATTTTGCCCTCCAGTGGACCTATCAAGGTATTCAAAAGGGAGGATTCTGCTCAGCTAAATGCGAGCTGAGTGCTTCAGCCTTAAATAGGGAGAAAATGTGTTTACCTACAGTATTTGAAGAAGTGCATTGATGCACAGAGTCCAATATTTAAGTGCTGTGCAAATTAAGCCTTGGTGACAGTGACATTGTTTTCACTGGTATGAGTATTGACTAAAGAAGTGCATTTGATGACAGCTTAAACTATTTGTATTGATTAACATTTTCATAGATTATCATGTGTCATATCAAATTCACTTTTCAGGCATGAATACATTAAAAAAAAATCACCACAGGCATACCGCTACCAGTGTAATGATGGGACAGGAGCGCATGCCACCCCACCTGCTCCAGGGCCGGTCACCTGTTTCCTGCTCAGGAACCATTTAGGCATGAACTTGGCCATAAATAGCTCCCAGATAACACAAAAAGGGGACTTTACCTTCTGCCTCTGATATTTGTGCCAAAACCATATTGTGCATCTTAGTTTGCAAACGGAATAAAAGGCTGCCCTTGGAAAATATTTTTGATCCTAAGATGCCCTCCTAATGAGTTGAGGAAAAAGCAGATTGGAATTATTGGGGTGGGGGGAGTTTGCTGTTTTTTGGAGGTGATTTTGGTTTTCCTTTTTCTTTAATGCTCTGGGTGTGTGATGCTCTAGGTATCCGAGTTATTGAACATAGTTTGTAAGTATTTTTCCAATTCCTTAAAAAAATTTTTTAATCGGTTTTCATATATTTTGTTGTGCCTCATTGGTTTTCAAATGTTCAGCGGGTTTGGGGGTCAGCTTCAGTCCCAAATCTGGGACCAGCAGATTCAATTTCTAAGGGTGCTTATAGAATTTACATGAGAAATCTCTCTTTTAATCCATTGAAAGCGTTTTGAGGATTCTTTTCTCCCTGTCTCTTTTCTCTGCTCTGGGGATAGGGTTTAATTGCTTCTCCCCCAGGGAGAGGGCTTCTTAAAATAGCCTGGGGTTCCTCCATAGTGTGCTCCTTCCTTTTTTTAGTGCGTTGCTCAAGTACAAACCCCGCGCTTCCTTTTTTTCTTACTGCATTAAAGACGGAACAAGGTGTAAAAACATTCTCACAAAAGCACATGCCACAATTAAAGCTGGGTTGGTTAGGTTGCTTTCAAAGAAGTTTTTTTTTTTTTCCTTCCCTCCGAAGCCTCCTGAATCTCTCACATGCTAGTTGAGCTTTAATAGGGTAGGGAGTAATGGAGAACTCCTCGGATCTGTAATAGCTCTTCACTTGACTGCAGCCAGCAATAACAGCGGGAGCAGCCAGAGATAAGAGAGAGGAGAGAGGGAGAGGGTGTGTGTGGAGAGAGAGAGAAGAGAAGGGAGAGGGGGAGAGAGAGGACACGCACACTAAAGCTGCCACTTTTTTTTCCTCCCCTTCACTCTTTTCCCCCGTCCTAGGATCCAATGATAGCTGGACAAGTCAGTAAGCCCTTGCTGTCAGTGCGGAGTGAAATGAATGCGGAGTTGAGAGGTGAGGACAAGGCTGCTACTTCAGACAGCGAGCTGAATGAGCCCCTGCTTGCGCCTGCGGAATCAAATGACAGCGCGGACACTCCCAGCAAGCTCTTCGGTAAGTCTGTCTAGGTGTTTCATTGCAGTCCGACCATGTCGTCCGGAAGAGCCATCACACCCCACCTCCTTTCTCCCCGTTGTTCATTCACTTTTCTTGTAAGTGCTAAAGAGGAGCCGGGCAGCTCGGTGGGGCTGAGCCCCGGCGCCGCTTCGGGCCGGCCAGGAGGGTGGCCTCCAAACTTTTCCCAACAAGGAACTTCCTCGCTGCCCCCTTTGGCTTGACAGATTGTGCCGGAGTCCCCAGGCTAGGAATGATTTGCAAAAAAGTAGGTGGTAATAATAATCACGAAATCAGTTCCATGGCGAGAATTGGTTAACATTTATTGAATAAATATTGACTCAGTTTCGGGTTGCTTCGCAGCCTTTTGTTAAGGGGAAGGAGAGTAAAGAGTTATTATCTGTAGTCAGAAGACGGGAGAGGGGACTGAAAAAATATCAATACAAGTCATTCTGTGCCAGGTAAACAAAAGTGGCTACGGGAATTGCTCAAAGAAATAACATTTTGTAAGCACAATTAGAATAACCAGCTCTTCTCTTTTTACAAGGGTGATGAGAAAGTAAAATAGGTCCTTTGCGTTCCGCCCCTACCCCTGTCCCCTTACGTAGGTATTGATAGCCTCGTCCTAACATGAAGGCAGCCCAGGACCTTTTAGGAATCCTCGCTTCATAAACAAAGCCAGAACAAGCAGAGTGCCACTCCAGCAAAGACATCTGTCATTCAAACAGATGACACTCTGTAAGTCAACTCAAGCAACTGTGATCTCTAATCAGAAAGGGAGAGGGTTGTTGAGATGTGTGACCGAGTGATGGATGGTGATAGATGTCTCTGCCGGAGAAGCATTTTATGAGGGAGAGTGACATTAGGTTTTCAGAACAGTTGCTCCTGAAACACTTGTCTTTAATTATTTTCAAGTGTTTATTTACTTGTACTACTACACACACACACACAGACACACACACACATATATGAGATACACACTAACCTGTTCATATAGATACATACTAACCTAATATTAATATATGTATGTACCTAATCTCTGTATATCTGGCAGAGAAATGCTTGGCCTCAGGTTTAAAAAAACACTCATGTGCCTGAACTTCAAAGAAAACAACATCATTCTCTAGGCTGCTTTGTTAAGAAAGTCATTAATTCAGTTAAAAACATAAGTTTTTTTTTTTTAACCTATAGAAAGAAAACAGCTTTGATAGTTTGACAACTCTAGGCCAGCTTCAACAGAAGAGCTTTTCTCCGATTTTCAATGTTCACTCGATCAAACATGAGTGGGGCATTGCAGAGAAACTTTGTTTCAAATTTTCTATTGGAAAACCAGTTTTATAGTTGAGTATAGTAGATTCCAGTTTCAAGAAATTCTGTCATATGACCCTTTCTTTGAAAAGCAGCATTTCCACCTCTGACATAAATTTTCCATACCTAGGCATTAAGGTTTTAGCATTTTCACTCTAAAGAAATATTTTGTTGTCGTCTAAGTTTTTATCTGTGTAGGAAGAGTTATGTCCTAAAACACTCATTTCATTTCAGGGGTTTAGTGAGGGGAGTCAGATAAAATTATAAATTACAGCAAGGCAAAAGCCATGTTCTAGCTTCTTGGATGTTGAGGTTGCTAACAGAAAGCACTTCAACTTGTAAAAAATAATCAGTTGTGAGCTCAACATAACTGCAGACAATGGATTATTCATTCCTAAAGTTTGCATACATTTTTAAAAAGTAAATGCATTTTGTAGATGTTGACCTAAAACCCCAACTTTTTTTTTTTCAGATAAACCAGTGGAGGACTAATTAATTCATACTACTAATTTGTGCTATTAACATGTATTTAGATTTTCCACTGTTGAAAATTGTCGCAGATTTTTGTGTCATCTCTTACCAATTTGCACATTAGAGAAATAAGCTTAAAAATATTCTAGAGGGTCAGAGAAATTTGAATTAGACATTCACTGAAAATACACCTTATGTGGAACCTTTATGGGGAAAACTAAGATATCATAGTTTAGTTTAGAAATCATAGTAGGTTTCAGAAGGTATTCATCCTCTCTCTGCACTTCTCAACTTCTGAATCTGTGACAGAACCTAGGAAAATCTACATCTTGTATCTGATATTCCTTATGTACTCACTTAATTTTCTGTGGTCTCTAAAGGTGCATTTCAAACACAATGTGGCTATTTCCCAGTTTCCGATTAGGTAAAGAAGAAATCAGCAGATGAACAGTTTTGAAAACTTGAGGAAAGAGTTGGAGACGAGGAGACAGTAGAAACAGAATGCAGATTGGGAGGAAATACTTCAATGTGCCCTAAAGTTTCCTTAGCTATTGGGTCCACTACACTCTTACCTTTTAATATTTCAGTTTATGTAACAGACTAAAACTTCCTGGATTAATTCTCTCCCAGAATTTTTGGCAACTTTGGCGACACTTAATGGGTAACAATTTCATGAAACATTATTTCTTTGATGTGAACATGTTCAGGTTTTTCATTTTTATATGTAATTTTGATTACACTCTTTACTTGGTAATGAAGAATTACCTTCTTTCTGAATAACTGAGAGCATCCAGGTTTCTCTCTAAACAATGCTTTCCTACCATACTCTCTCAAACCATCATTCTTGTAACATAGACATTGTACTATTGAAACCTGTACTTCTATAATGAAAAGAGATTAGAAAAATCATGTGCATCTTGCTAATGTCTCCTTTTGTGGAGAGTCATTAACCAACTATGGGAGACAAGAAGCGCTCAGTTTTTTATTGTGCCTGAAATTTCAGTATAAATGGGTTTCTTTGGAGCTTGTTTCCCCTTCTGTGTCTTGTTGAAATCAGCAGTCCAGAGGACAAGTCTGTTTCTCTTGCAGTATGGCATCTTCAGCCCAAAACTGCAGGAGAAAGGCTAATACCGATGCCCTCTATAGATAAACAAAGGAAATTCCAGGAACCATTGGGTCTTTTATGCCTCTACTTAAATTGCACCTCTGCACTTAACAGCATCCAAAGGGAAACATACTGTGCAGAATGTTGCAGTGCTCAGAGCAGCTCAGAATCCCAGGAAGAGGAACCAGAAGCCATATGCTAGCCTAAGTAGAAAGTTCAGAAAAGGGCCCTTGTGTTTTATAAAGTAATTACATCAGAAGTAACATTTTGCTTAACTTGAACAGCCATGGAAACTAAAGTACACTTAGGAGAGATAAATTCACATTTCATTGAGAAACATGTGGTTAGGTAGTTCTCTGTGATATCATTAAGTGGTGCATTATTTATTTTTGTTAAAGCCCGTAGAATAGCCTTCTCTCTCAGTTTATGACTGTATTATGCTAACCTCTGGGCCCTAGGAAACAGTATGGAAAGAACAGACTTGCTTGTTTTCAGAGAATCTGGCTCTGTATGTCAATGTGTTTCAGCTGCGTGACCAATGAGTGATATCACACAGGGCCAGTCATTTAATATGTGACTGGTGGTGTACATATTCGAAACCACTCTCAAAACTGGCCTTTGGCAAACAACATTAAAGGTAGGAGGTTGCTGTGTTTCTCTAGTGACGTTTATGGCGCTCGTGTCAATGTGGTGCTTCATTTTTAGTTACGCCCATCAAGAATTCAGTGTTCCACATTCAGTCAAGTTGGATGCTAAAATTCAAATGGTAGTATCAACAACTTGGTCAGAAAAATGGCCACAGAAAGGACTGAAGTAATATATGTCCCTAGAAAAATATCGGTACTAAAGTTCTCCCATTCAGTCTCTGCTGAAGAAGCGAGACCACATAAAACATGCCCTAAATATTGTACTCCCATATATATTTGAAATTTGGAAGATGATTTACTAACAGTGTTCCTCATGGGAATATTTTTATTGTTTCAAGTTAAACCTCATGATTGCTTTTCTTAAAGTTCCACCTACTGGGATGTGTGAGTTAGTCTGTGGCTTCCTTGTCAGTTATACCACAGTGTATGTGAATTGGGCACACAGCTCTCAAGCCTTGAGATCAGGTATAAACAAAAAACCATTTATAAACCTTATACCTGAAGTAAAAATTAGGGGTTGGCTTTCTCTTAGGATATTGTGTTTTTTCCAAGTTAAAAGAAATTGCATGCAATGATACGTGGAAGAGTGAGTATTTCCAATGTCCTTTATCTGTGAACTATTGGAAAAGGATTAAAAGTTGGGTCGGAAATTCTTCCTTGATGAAAAATGTACTGTCTATAGGGTTTTTCTCTTCCTGTCCTTTTTTGTTATCTTTCTCGTAGAAACATGCATTATAAGATTTTTTTTTAAATTGCCATCCAGTTTGACTTGATTAGAATTTATGGCAGTGGAGTCGGTTTCAGTGACAAAAGGATAAGGGACTAAACTGTCTGTCACCCCTTGAGACAGTGGTCTCTGCAGGTCAGAGTGGAGGTCATTGGCAGGACATTCTGGGGATGCCCTTTGTGGGGACACTGCTTCTGGCCTGTGCACAAGTGGAGGCCTTCACTGTGGCAATACTGTCTTCATTACTTTGAACATCTCTCTCAGGTCTCAATGCCTTGGATATTTATAATAGTCTGATAAAAATATGCTGGGGCCAGCAATCAGAAGGATTCAGCTGGGAAGTGATGAGGAAAATTCCCTAGAGAAATATATTTATGTAAAATACGCATCATGCCTTATATTTTTAAAAGTTTTGATATTTTATCTATTGAAAATTCATACTATTTTACTGAAGAAACTGTGTTCTGTTAGGGAAATATAGAAGATGTGTATTTTTAAATCAGTTAAATGATTGAGAAACGATAAACTGTTTCTTTAAATAGTTATTTTAAAGAAACCAGTAGAAACCTGTATTTGTGTAAGTAAATTGGATGTACAATAGCTTTAATAGTCAAATGAGCCCTTGTCATGCCATACTCTGCCTACTGAGGGGAAATGCACATTTGGATGCATTTCTGAATATTTAAGAAAATCTAATGCACCAAGGTATTTCTTTAAAAATCCCAGTGTGTGTTCAAATTTA